TTTCAGAAACGGGATTTGATTGGCTGGCGCTGGCTACTCCGGCGTCTCCGGGGTCAGAAGTTGAACATTGTTCAACTTCTAACGCCGGAGACGGACCGCTATGCTACCCACCATTCAGTTCGGCGAAAAGCGAGGCAACGTGACGTCACCCCATTCAAAGTGAATGGGCAGACGCGTTGGAAACCGTTTTTGAAGCTGTCGAAGCTGTAGTGTGGACGGGCCGTTACTGTTGTTGTTTTAATAAATCAGACACTGATGGTGCAGCACTGTACTGTACAGTACCTCTTTATATAGGCATTTTGTCCCGAACAAATTGTTTTTGCGCTGATCAGGGGGTACTTGGCGGAATATTTTATTCAAAGGGGGTACATTATTGAAAAAAGTTTGAGAACCACTGCTCTATACTGTATAAACCCCTTACTGTCATACTGATGTTCTTCAGGGCCTGAAAGTTGATTAAATAATTTAGTTTGTTGTCTGAGATTACTAACCCACTTAATTTAACACAGCCTGGATGTTCTTCTCCTCTCCTGAACTACTCTGTGCAGCGGGGCTCAGGGGAACGAGAGGCAGTAACAGCAGATATTACTGAGAACAGCAGCTACAGTAGCAGCCAGCATGGGGCTGGAGGCATCTACTCTCTCCACTCTGTCAATGTGAATCATACAGGGGTGTTTCAACATGTCGGCTGAGAGAGAAGATCCTGTCACAGAAACGTCAAACAAGTGCCTTCAGCATATAGGCAGCAGGAGACTTCTGCTGCAAATTCCACTAACAGTGGGATAATGCCGTTCTTCTCATACAATCTGCATCAAACAGCATCACATATCCTCATACAATGAGTTTACACTATTATGTAAACTACTATGTTAACATTTGAAAAGTCTAGTAACTTGTCTCCGACACAGATTATTGATATTTTGGTTGCATTAAGATCTTTCGTCACCTTTTAATCAGAGCAACAGCCCACTGTGTCATATCATGTCTATCTTCTGGAGCTCTGAGGGCGGTCACTGGTGATGCATTTTAGGATGCAGTTCATGTTCTCCAAGAACAGTTAGGAGTCAAATGGTTTGCAATAACCATGTAAACAACATTACAGCATCTGGTATGCTTTAAAACAGCAGGATCTATTCACTACCACTCAGAATCACAGACAAGCTGGTTCGGGGCGGAAAGTTAGACAGAACTTATCCTGTATTTTTTCCCAACCTCAGTATAAAATCAGCCGAGGAACTTTTTGACAGTTTGTATTTGTTCTGTATATGTATGCAGGGTCAAGCCTAAAAACAAATAGGTGTTACAGAGCTATAAGATTTCCTTCTGGTATTTGTCATTTTCCTTTCACTAAACATCACATTTTAAATAGTTTAGCCATTTAAGCTTTCTTGCTATTTTACCCTCATGGAGAATATTTCTTATCTAGACCACAACCAAATCAAATTAACATATTATATACATATAATAATAGTGTATTGCTGGGATTTGTAGGTAATTTACAGCTAAAATGCGATAGTAGCCTTTTCTTATATTGCTTTATTATAGTACACATTTAAGATGATGTGGCAACTGTCGTAATTAAGTTTCCTAGAGCAATTCTATACTTTATTTGTCACAAGACAATGACTATGTTTACATGCACAGTAATATATTCTGAATATGACAATATTCTGTATTTGACATGGGTCACACAGAATTGTATTTGGATATTAAAGGCCTTCTTTCAGCCTTATTTCTTTTGTGCATGTAAACAGTCACTGATATTATTCTTCTTTCCATCTGAAACAAGAGATGCTGTTGGTCGAACTGTTGTTGGACAGTGAGGCTATATATTAAGGTCTCTACATGTTAGAATCTATGATCCAGACCATGATTTGGAAATACCAGAAGCCTAGCTGTGCTGCGTATAGATAAATCCATGGCCCTGTCTGCGGTGCTGAAGTATCAGATGGATTTGTAATTGCATTTTTTTCTCTCAGTCCTAACCCTCTGTCGGTTTAGATCTATACAATTCTCCTATCTATTTACTATAAACACTCACTTCTATACTATATGTAGCCTATATATTTATATCTATATACATGTATATATATCGTCTATGCTGCTGGATGTATCAAGTTCCCTCTGGGACAAAAATATTTGAGGGGAGACATGACTCCAGTTATAGTTAAGGTGTCCTGGAACAATGTTGTGCTCCCATTAGGCCTTACCGCCAGTTAAAAATGAACAAATCTGATGTCAAACTTGCAAAACGTAAATTAACTAAAGATGATTCAAAAGAGTTTTGGTTTTATTTGAAATAGAAAAAACCTTGTTGTCCATCAGCCACCGTGAGAGTGGCAAAACTACAAACAGCATGAACAACCCATCTGCACTATTACAGGCTTTATAATTCAGATTATTTTATGCCAATACCCTTTTTTAACAGAGGCATGGTAAGTACTATGTTTAAGTGACGACAGTAGGTGTAAGTGGGGAACATTTTCCATCACCTCGTTTTCTTTCCACATGAAGAAATATTCATCATTATTCTGCCCCTTAAGTCTCTTTCTTCATCTCCCTGACAAATGCATGTTGAAAGGTTTTCAACAAGACAATTTCTTTCTGATTCACAACAAAACTGAACTTTCGGATTGCCTGTGTGTTGATTTGCAGACAGTATGAGTTTGATAAATTCATAAAAAAAGGAAATGCATAACAACACAGATGAGGAGGAAAAGGACACAACTCAATGCATTGCAGATCTTTCATATACGTTTACATATGTGAGCATTAACACATATGATCTTTTGTAAATAAGCACTCCGGGCTAATTTATATTGAATAGCTTGTTAAGACTTGCTTCAGAATTTTGCTCATTTTCACTCGGCGTAAAGGAAAAACATTTTTGTTATATATTTATATAATTTAAAGGATTGATATTTCAAGACTATAAAATGGCTATAACTTGTTGTTAACCGCTGAACTAAATAACAAAAAATAACTGCTGCATTTCATTAAGCTCCTTGACTATTCTATTCTGCTTGCAAGCTGAATGCAACAGAGCCTTAATAAAATCAATATTATCCCTATGCTTCTCCAGCTTTGACGAGTCAAAACCGTAAAGGTCAACAGGATTACAATCATTTTAAAAACCAATTTATATAGTGCTTGTAGATTAGATTATGTATCTTGACTTTTCTCATTTCACTGTGTGCTAAAACTAAAATAGTAGCACGATGTCCTTATACTCTAGCGGCAACTAATATTATACGTACTGATAACATGCTGTTTGTTGACATTTAATTATCAACATCAAACTACCCCAGCCTGTAAATGCCTGCTCTGCACTTCCTTGGTAACGTATTTAAATACTGTAGTGTGATGTTGCTGTGAAATTACACACCCACTTCCTACAACAAATGAAATAAGATGGCAAACAGATTTTCTTTTCCTAAAAAATAAACCCCGAACAAAACCATTACAGTAGCTTGTTAACCTTGTATGTTGACACACGTCTTCTATTTTGCTTTCGGGCCAGTGAAAACACAGCCTTTCATGCCACACGTCTCATCATTATGTTGTTGATTGTGGGGAAAAGAGGATGGAGAAATGAGAGAAAGGCAATCTTGCTCGCTAATGGCTTGCAAAGTTATCAGTTGCGGCTTAGTGAAGCTTAAAGCGGCTTCATTGGGATGTAATAGCTGGCAAAGTTGTCCTCCATTCACTCAAGCTAATCCTTCCTTCAGGGCTTTCTCTCACAATCAGAGATTCATGGAAAGAGAAAGAAAGAGAGGCCTGTATGAAGCAAGGAAGAAAATGATGATGACAAAAAGGAAATTGCAATCGGGCACAGGATGAAAAGAAATTTAGATGGCAAAAAGTGCCATCAGGATCCAAGCTTTGGGTGATACTGTTGAGTGTTATGAGCGTGATTTAGGCAAGCTGCAGAACGGATCACTATCGTCTCCTTCTGCCCTCCTGTAAAGACCTTTTATATAATTATTCAAGTCGTAAACATGGCAGCAGGGTAGCTCTTATTCATTCAAATGTGATCACTGCTCGCTCTCGTTCCCTGCCGCTGGAACTGACACGCAGAACTTCCCGTTTTAATACCCACTCGGATCGTGCCTCTCCATTTCAAAGAAGAAATACTTGCAGCCCTGGGGCATAAATCTTAATCTCTTTATTTATCTTAACACAAAGTCTCCTGCTTCTTCTCTGTCTGTTTGTACTTCAAATGAAATGTTCAATGTCTTTGGCTTCTGTGCCATTTTCCATGCAGTCTTTCAATGTCCTGCCATATGTTGCCATTCTTTGCTGGCTGTTTGGCTTTGCAAAAGAAAATGTAATTATATTTGATAACACTGTGCATTAATTTTATGATCTCTTCCCAGTCCTGTACTGCCAAGGTGGAAGAGATATGTTCAAAATACTAGGTCTAAGTAGAGTATTTTTTTCGTTTGTGGTAAAAGTTATATCATTAAATGAAGTAAAAACAAAAATGCAGAAATAATAAAAGAAACTTACTCAAAACAGTAAAAGGGGAGGACCCTTGAAAGGAAAAACAGACCTATCAACCTATTAATTAATGTAATGTGAAGGAAACACATATCAAAGCCACCAGCTGTAAAGGCTGTTACATAAAGAGCAACTATACCTGTAAACCATCCAAACAACATCAAATAATATCAGAGTCACATTCCTGACTGATTTTCAGTTTCAATGCCATGGACAGATTTCTGCATTGCTTTAAAGCTACTCTTTATCTCAGAAACACACACACACACACACACACCACACACACCACACACACACACACACACACACACACAACACACACACACACACACACAACACACACACAACACACACACACACACACACACACACACACACACACACACACACACACACACACACACACACACACACACACACACACACACACACACACACACCACACACACCACACACACACCCACACCCACACACACACACACACACACACACACACTGACCTTGCCAGCAGGCGCCCACAGTCAGCTGCGTATAAATCTTTGCTGTTTGGATGGGCCAGTCATCCGTCACCAGATAGGGTTCATAGGTAACACCATCCACAAATAGTGTGACTGCAGGGAACTCCACGTTGATCACATAATAGTGCCATTCCTTGTCACAGATCTGTAAACGAGAGAGAGGTTAGGGTGTTATTAAGCTACAGTGCATGTCCACTTCATGCTTTCAAAAAGGAAATATTTGTGGTTATTCATAGTACACAAAATTAGGGCAGCTTTAAAAATACATTACTCTGGCAACTACATCTCTTTTCGGGGTCTTATTTAGGTTAGGAGCCTTTTTCCATGGAGGATTATGTTTATAGAGATGGAGATGAGGATGTTTACTCCGAGCTTTCTAGCTTCAATGAGAGAGAGGCAACAAATTCCCCTTCACTGAATCATTTGCTCCCTGTCGTTAGATTGCTAATGAGGTTTCCCTCTAATGAGCTGTTCATTAAACGCACGCAATGAGCGACAAACACGGCTGTGGAGTGCCTGGCGTCTTTTTAGAAGCCATCACAGACATTCTCTGACTATCTGAAAAACTTGTACAACACACATACCTTCCAACAACTTTGCCACAAACACAATTTAGAAACACATGTGTTAAAGCTAAAACTAACAATCAATTTAAGCCTGAAAAATTACTGAAATTAATAAATAATTAGCAGATATACATGAGGATTCATGTGTTGTTATTGACAAATGTATGGCTGATTCATTCCAGTTAATCAAAAATATGCAATATTATTTCACCATCACAAAGGAATTATTACGACATTGCATGAGGGCCTTAAAGCAACTTCGGTGGATTATTGTTGCTCCTCTTATGACCATTGCATTTGTGTTTTCTGTAAATCAGGCAGGTCTAAAGGATTCAGATAAACTAACATCCAACATTAATCTATTTTCCTTGGAGAGGAGAATATCTGCTCATGTAAGATACACAGAGAGAAAAAGCAGGAAAGGATACAACAACCAGATTGTTTTTGTCTTTGTTAGATTTCCTTCTACGGCTCAGAAGCACACACACACACACACACACACACACACACACACACACACACACACACACACACACACACACACACACACACACACACACACACACACCACACACACACACACACACACACACACACACACACACACACACACACACACACACACACACACACACACACACACACACACACACACAAATCCTTTGGGAAATGGCAAAAAAATCCACCACTTTAAATATTAACTTCCAGTAAAAACAGCAACAAACATTTCCATGTTGCTGTGGTATGGAGTTGTGGTACTTCTGTGGGACTGATTGATTAACCCTTAATTTCTTATCTTGTTACCCCCAATCCTCCTTGCTGTGCTTCTTAGAGAGTGGAGTAGGTTCAGGACTGAGTGACAGAAATAGAGGGCACGAACAAACAACATCATCAATGTCAATATTTCTGTTGTCTAGAAAAGCATGCACAATGAAGTGGGAACATCCTTTCCAGCAGCTCTCAGTGCACAAGTCAAGCTTTACTGCATGAATATTAATGCATACACAATGAAAGGAAATGCCCTTTTCGTTTCGATTTACTACGCAGCAACATGACTAAATAATAAAACAAGAACACATGCCATCTTGTCAGACACATCAACTTCACAGAGTGGCTTCTATCATTTATGTGCACATACTGTAAGTGGCTAGAGTCATTAAGGAAAGCTCTGAATCCAATCCAGCTGCAGCACTCAATTTATTTATATTGTTGACGGTCTAAACTTGAGAAATCATACTTTCAACCTTTACGAATGCATGCACACACACATCATTAGTGGCTACCATCAGCAGCACCCTCTCTGCCGCTGAGGAATGTTTGTATTCACACAGCTCGTCTGCAGCATAGACTGGTCTGAAGGCACATTAGTCAGCGGGAGCTTGAAAGTGTTTCTGCAACAGTGTAACAACACAATGCATTCTGAAATAGGTAAGGAGCCTGTCCCCAAGCAGATTGCAGGCCTGCTTCTGATGAACAAAATCACCAGAGGAGTCTAAAAAAACAGAGAGACTGCAGGAGAGGCAGGCAGACAGACACTGAGGCTATGCCCCTGCTAATGCTTTTTAAAATACATATGTTCTCCATTTTGGGCTCCCATTTAACTCAAATTGCACCCAAACCAACACATGTTTCAATGCGAGGGTTACTTGATGCACTTACAGAGGATAGCGATCATTTTAAAAGTAGATTACAAGTAGATTACCTGTTCTTTGGATTAAACCATTTTTGGGGGATATGTCGACATTTCCATTTTTTTTTCTTTCTTCCTTTTATCACTCGGATTGCTTCAGTACAGTGAAGTACATTACGTACCTATTACGGCCATTACGTAATTACGGCCATTACGACCTAATGGAGCAGAATGTCAGATTACTACAACACACCTGAGGGGGCAGGATCTTTGTTTATCACTGAGCAAAGATTACAATGGTTCAATTGAACAGGCTGAGGACTGCAAAAAGGGAATGCTAGGAATCATCTTTTTTGACAGCAGACATTGAATGTGTCATATCAGAAAAACAGCAGGTGTAATTGATGACACCCAGTTCCAGGGTCCTGTGAATAAGCATGTTGGCTCACAGGGAAACTGAGCCATCATTAATGAAATGGTGTCTTTAAATGATGATGCTGCAGGGAATTGTGGGACAGCATTATGTCCTTTCCCTTGATAAAGGATGGTCCAGTTTCAACCAGCTCTTATCATCGCTGCCACTTACTTTCAGGTCATTTCACCCTTAAGAACTTCCCTGAGAAAAGAAAGACAGTTTGAGCTCAGTTAGCCAGTGAGAACAAGGTCAAAGCGATGGCCAAGAGAGGTGTTTTACTCATCCTACAACTCCAAATGAGAGTACATGAGTTTTCTATATCAGATATACTGATATGTTGAGTCTTTTATCCTTATAATCCTACATGGTGTCTCTCTACGATATATACATTCCTTGCTTTTAGAGCTGTGATGGTTTGGATCAAGAACTGCACAATTGATATCCAGACATTTTCTGATCATTCCTCTCTCATTTTGGCCATCTCCTGTCTAAGATTCAGATTGTAGATGCTGCCAACTAAACCCTAGCTTATGGAGTCACATCCCTTTGCTGAGTATATTACCATGCAATAGAAGTGTTTTATTGCTGAGAATAAAACACAGGAGATAAGCCCGTCTATCTTCGGGAAATCTGCCACGGCGTATTTACGAGAGGCTATTACATCTTATACATCGGCAGTAAAGAAAGAAGACCTTTTGGCCAATTGGACCTAGAAAGTCTAGAGACTGAATTTAGGTTGTCACCCAAAGGATCTCTGGCAAAACAATTAGGTGCTGTCCGCTGTGAGCTAGACTAACTAGTAACAAGGAGAGCAGAGTCCCGAATCTTTTTCTGTGTGGAACATTGGTTAGAGGTTTCAGGTAATGAACTAGATCGGCCTATTGTGCGTGTTGCTAGAAGGAAAACCAAACACAACCCCTTATTCACAAATAGCAATGGGACATTTTGTATCTGCTGACATAAACAGAATAATGAGGACATTCTGTGGGCTGCTGAGAAGCCCTTTAATGGGGTCAAGTTTATTTTGATGCATTGTGGAGCTATGGGATATGGAAACAAACCATAATATATAGCGGTGTTCAGATGCGTTGGATGTGATAAACAGCGCCTGACAGGCATGCTTTTTTATTCTGCTTTGGTAGTAAAACCACGGGTCAAAGCCATTACACATGATGTGAGGGGTATACTGATTTTTATAATAAATAATATAATGATTGGTGCTTGAAAAATCTGTGCTGATGTTTTTGCTGTTCAGACATAATGATTGCTCACCTTCTGTGAATTTAACTTCCACGAATAATGTAAAGGAAGCTTTTAGGCAACACTACCCTGTTTTCCTCATCTATTCTTTTTCGTAGCCCTTTGTGTGAACGACTTTCTCCTGTTCTCCCATCTCCTGCTATCCCCACCTCCACCTCATCATTCCTTCCTAACTTGCACCTCTCTTCTCTTTCCCTTTTCATCTCCTTTCTACCTATTCACATTCCTCTGCTCTCCTCTCTTCTGCCACTGCTGTGCCACTGCATTATTGATGCAAGCCTATTATGTGTCAGTGTGGTGGTAGGGAATGACAAGCATACAGAAAAAAGAGAAACATTTATGAAAAACGTGAAAGAAAGAATGAAAAGAGCTTTGCTAAGATCCTCAACAGCGTGCACATTTAACATGTCATACAAAAGCAGCAAAAGCCTAATGTTAGATGGAGTACACGTCATGTAAGACTCAACAAATGTATTATAACAAAATTGCATCAAGGTCAACTTTCAGTTGAGTTGAGAGTATGTCCATTGGGAGAAGCTATATGATACATGTCAGTGACAGACGGGAAACTGCTAAACAAAGAGTGAGTCATAAGATGAAATATACTTCATGTCAAAGGTGCTTTGAAATGACGTTTGAAATCTATTTCTTTGTTTTTGTATCTCAAAGGTTATAACTTGGTTAGTGCAGTAATATAATATCAGTGAATTATTTAAGCTTTACCTCTCGGGTCAGCAGGAGGGAAGGCATCTTTCACCCAAAGTAAACAAGCTGTCAGTATTGGTATGCTGCCTGATGGGATGCCTATGTCACTCTGCATGTCTGCTGAGTGGTACATAAGTAGCACATAGTGGCAATAAGCCTCCTGCTGCTCCCTCTCACACACACACACTGCAAAGACACACAAGAGATGCATCCGCTGTACATAAGGGTAAGCGCCTGAAGCAGTCAAAGTACAGCTAAGCCTTCAAATGAGGTCGTTGGAAAAATAGACGCTAGAAAATAAATAAACACACACTGAAGATGTATCCGCTAGAGGCGACGCTCAATACCTCATCTGTTGCTCTATCTTTGTCGGTTTTGCTCTCACAGAATAGGAAAAAATGTGCTTTTCATCATTGCCAGTTGGTGCTTTTTTATACAAAGTGTGCTTCATACTGAGTCCTTGTAACTTAAGCCAACAGTATCAATCCAGAAAGTAAATAAACACTGCAATGTTGGATAACATGTGATGGTGACTGAAAAACAACAAAAAACATGTAATTTTGAGATGATAGTGATACACACACTGCCTCTTGTTCTAATGTGCACAGCTATACTGATACTCAAACCCTTTTCTGTGGAACTATATGACTCCCTGAATAGGCCCTTCAATCTCTCCTGGTATCTACAACAAACAGGCAGAGAAGCAACGCAACATCAACGCCATCCAATTCATCTCCTCAGAAACAAAAGAGATGCTTCTCATCGACAGAGGACGGAGAACCAGCTGCGGCACAACATGCATGATAATAGCAGGCAGATAAGGCAGATAATTGTATATGCTGTATAGCCAAGCATGAGGGGGATTGTGTGATACTCCAACCTCTTGACAATCACACTTTGACACAATGATAAATAACGGGGGTCTGCAGCTGTTTTGTGAAGTTGGAGAAAAAGTTTATCTGTAATTCACAGCTCATGACCGGCCCCGTCAACAGCACAGTTATCTTGGACTGCTGTGGATCAGCTGCCAACATTAATAAACATTTGACCCCTGGCTAAAGCTTTTCAAATCTCAGACCTGCGAAAACGATTTGTTTTGGTCTCAACTCACACGCTTCTGTACATAGATTTGTTTTATCTATAACGACCCTGCTGTGAGTACATAACACATTATTTGAAAGGGGTTTAAATCAATGCCACATACCACACACACACTCGCCCTCTATCAGACTGTGCCGGGCAAACTTATAAAGCTGTTCAAACTGGAAGAAGGTTTAGCATAAAAAGGCCCCGATAGGGAAAATGTCCGCTTCTTTACTTTACCTCATTCCCCTCTGCTTTGTGTGACTTTGCTTGCATGTTTGACCCATTCCTACCATCTTTGACTTACAGCACATTACAGAAGAATGGCTCTAGATTTGTATAGGACTTTGTGGCTGTGAGTGAATATCTTTCCAACAGCTGGACTAAACTGATAGGCTTGCTTGATTCAAGGACAGTGAATAATGTACAAATAGTAGAGAAATCCATCCCCTTCTCTATTATCAAGGCTGAAAGGAGAAAGGAAAATAGGTATTCCTTTGTGTGTGTGTGTGTGTGTGTGTGTGTGTGTGTGTGTGTGTGTGTGTGTGTGTGTGTGTGTGTGTGTGTGTGTGTGTGTGCAGTTGTGTTCCAAAATACACTGAAAAACAGGCGTGTAGATGTCTTTGTAAAGGTTTCTGTCAGATGTGACATTCCTTCAGTGCTTTTCGATCGACATGGAAAATGGAAACCTTTCTCTCACTCCTCTCTGCCAGCTTTCTTTCATCCCTCCCCTCCCCTCTCAGGGTGAGAATTGCAAAATCAATAGAGCTAAATGGAGTTGCTGCCGAAGCCATTGAGTGTCCTTTCTAAGTGCTGGAGGAACAAGGACAGTCAGAGGCAGCTGTGATACCCAGCAGCCACCTCTTCCGGTAACACTTTATATTAAGGTACACAAATTAACCATCAACTAGTTGTTAATTAACATGCATTTTAGCAGTATATTGGCTCTTTATTAGTCATTATAAAACACTTATTAATGCCTTATTCTACATGACCATATTCTACAAGTAATAAGCCATTAGTTGAGAGTTTTTCCTCAATAACCCTCTAATTAGTGCTTATTTATTGCAAGTAAGGAAGTTGTTGTACATGAGTTTTGGCCTTAATATGCTCTGCTCAATATGGGCCTAATAAGGCAGTAGTACCACAAGAATAGTAATTCTACCATAATAACACTTTGCAAATATGATCTATTCTTATGTAATTGTCATTTTTACAACAAGTGTTAATTGTGTCTAAATAACTCAAAATTAGGTATTTATATCTTAGACGATGTTCCCTGTTTTAAAGTGAAGTCTTGTTCATCCCCAATAAGCTAGTAGTTTGACTCTAAGTGACCTGAACAGGTTCCCTATTCTAAAGTTGCCTCCTCTTCACACTTTGTAAATACATTATAGCACACAACTACTGAAACTAGAGAATGCAATTCCTGAAGAAATTGCTAGTGGGAATGCTTTATGCTGAAAAGCTGACGCTAAGATATGTGAATTTATACGGCATGGATCTTTACTACTTTATATAATAATAAATAATTAAAGTCACTGTTTTATAACTCCTTGTGCCTGGCAAATGAGAAAAAGATTTCCTGTAAAATATTTAATCAATCTTTCAAACTATTACTATTCCATAAATAACTCAAAAGTAAGGTTGATATTTGTGCAGATACAAGATCATAATGGATTTAAGAACAGAACATCTTGTGATAAAGTACGATTGTGAAAACAATTACCATATTGTTGGTTTTGGATGACTGTTATCAATAAAACAAAAATAATAACTTAAAAGATTGATGTGCCTGGATTTTCATTGTAGTTATTGGGCAGTCAACCAATAGGCATTTTTCATAATTCCAAGAAGAATATTATATTTGTTAAGGATTGGGGCAGTTTTCAAAAGCACTGCTCACTTCTGAAATATCGTGTGCTGCTCCAGGGCACACATCAGATTTTCATTTCAGCATCTCACATTCAAAAGAAATGGTTTGGTTCTAGATTCAATCATTTTGCACTGACATTCAACAAGAAGATAGGCCAGAATTGTTTAAAAGAAAAGAGGTGAAGACACCAGTTTCTCTGTTGAAAGTAGCCTTTCGTCGATCCAGCTGAAAAACATGTTTTCACACAAGAATCCATCAAAGCAGTTTCACTAATGTACTGCTCTTTCCACCTGCATGTCAACTCAATAAAGAAGTTGAGTGCACAACATGTTCAAATATGCAGGAAGTCACTACCATAAAAAGCACATTATGGCAACGTGAGTTCAGCAAACTGCACTCTACTTCACAGATTGATGATCATAGAGTTGTTTCCTTCACTTGCCCAAATGGGCTGTGCTCCTATGATGTCATATCTCTCATTAACCTACAGCCTCCATTTATATTTCATGAAAGTTTCTGCACAAGCGATTTGTACTGTAACTCATCACATATTCTCTTTGACTGCAAAACATGCTTCCTCTGTGAAGCTCCGCAAGATTTAGAGGAGCAAATGGGATCCCTGTTATCGATGTACTGTAAGTGTGAAAGGGAGAGAAAAAGAGGAGAATAGAGGAAAGATAATAAGGAACAGAAAGAAGGAGAGAGGAAGACGGAAATAAAACTTGGGGTTGTTTGCTCTTTTGCTAAGAAAACTCAGCAGTCACTACTTGGCTGCCCTTCTCTTTGTCACACACACACCTCCCTGGGCCTCAGGAGAGAAAAAACACTGGATCGAGAAAAACACTTTTCAATCTACCTTTGACCTAGAACAAACAATCACAGGGTTGGAGGGTACACACCGGCACAGGAGGAGATAGTGCCAACAAAGACTCGCTGGGATATTTGCCTGCACACAAAGACTGACTGCATAGCACAAGAAGACTAAGCCTTGTACAGTCATTTTTTCCATGCATGATGAAATAGTAAATTGGGTAAATCCAGCATTACAGTTTTCATAAGAGTAGACAAACGTGCTGATGCAGGGTCACACAGCCATGGGCACAAATAGACAGAAAGACCCAAATACAATACAAATCTCTTATAATCTGCTTAGTGCAGCAAAAACTCCTAATATCTTGCTGTAATCGTGAAGCATGTTCTAACAATTTCAGTGTGAGTTAGGCATATGTTGATCCCAAGGCTGAATAATTAGATCAGATTTACATCTACGATCCATTATTAGTTATCCAGGGAGAGTTGTGTAATGGAGACATTTTGGTTTATCATGATTGAATTTTTCTATCTTTTTTTAAAGTAATATTTTCTCCACAAAGCGTCCGCCTGGTGAAAAACATGACTAGACGACCTTCAGCCGGTTCTCATTAAAGCATCCACCTGACCAAGGTGTTATTGAGCAATACTTTCTGACTTTCTTTCAAGACAATTTCTGAAGGACTTAAACATTCACCACTTCATATTGGAACATTGAATATAAACCTTTATATTCAGATAACATACCTGCCTAATGTGCGTATTCTTTTGTAGAATTCAAAGGTTATATACCAGTGTGTACATCTGCAGGATATTTAAAGTAGGAAAAGCACTGTGCAACAGAAAATAAATTTTAATATATATAATCTGTGAAGCTGAAGCAACTTCATATGTTCCAATAGATCGGTGCAGTGACGCTTCCTAAAACCCGGAAGTACTGTAAGCTGCGCATGGGTTCCTTCCGGTTCCCTCGACCAAAAAGCAATGCAATTTCTCCATAGGGTTTTGGAAAATAGCTCGAAATAAGGTTTGTGGTTGACAAACGATTTATGATACGGTAAATTAGTTTAACAACTCTCCAGAAGCAAAGTCAGATAATAAAGACACGCTGCTGGTTGAGCTTTTACCTCTAACTAGACAGACTTTCCACTGTGGGCCTATTATGGTGTGTGTGTGTGTGTGTGTGTGTGTGTGTGTGTGTGTGTGTGTGTGTGTGTGTGTGTGTGTGAATAGGATAATAGTGTCTTCCACCCTCTTATCTCATGCAGCGAGCAGAAGAAAGTGATTGAGGGCCTCCGGTAATTAGAATGGAGAGCCTCTCCTTTCACTACGCAAATAATGATAGCCCTTCACCTGATGTAGAATATCACCCTGAATCTAAGCACACACACACACACACACACACACACACACACACACACACACACACACACACACACACACACACACACCACACACACACACACACACACACACACACACACACACACACACACACACACACACACACACACACACACACACACACACACACACACACACACACACACACACACACACACACACACACACACACACACACACACACACACACACACACACACACACACACACCACACACACACACACACACACACACACACACACACACACACACACACACACACACAGCTCACCTGCTCCAGTTTCCAGTGGAACTCTGCGGGTCTGAAAGTGTCGACCTGGGTGAAATCTCTTCTGAGCAGGAACACCAGGCGGCAGTTATGGACGTACAGAGAGTAATGATGGCGGTTCATCTCTGCGAGGGCAAGATTACAAACATACATGGTCACACAGTTAAACATTATTCATACAATGTATGTATCAACAAGATTATGCATTCTATAAGCTGATGTTATAATTGTTTTAATGATTATTACTGATTTTGGGAGGATCCAAAAAAGGTCCTTCAGCATCCCCGGTGTCTGTATTTAATGGCAATTAATGATTGGTTCCCCCCCCCTGCTGTGACAATACACTGAATCAGCTTTAGATGGGATTAGTTGTGGATGTGAATCTGGTTCTCTTTTGAACACAATTATTTCTCTACTTACTTTTCCTAAATGGAAATGAATGTTTTGTTATTTTATAATCGTATAACTGCAGATAAAAACGATCAATTCTGCCTTGTGGTTGTATGCCTCCACCAGGTCAAGAGGCAGTGTACATCCATCGGTGTTCGAAATCATCACATCATCATATTATCGTATTAGACATACTGTACTGTACTGTATCAAAAAGCCTTACGGTATGTGTATGTGAGGTCACAGTGACCTTTACTTTTGATCCCCAAATTCTAATCAGTTCATCCTTTAGTCCAAGTGGATAGTTATGGCATGCTGAAATATCGTGCTCACAAAACTGGGACAGACGGAAAAACCCCAAAACGTGTCCAAGCAATAATGTGAAAATTAAATATTTTTGTTAAAGTGATAAAGTTAGGAGTGAACCTTCAAATTAAAAATGTCGTAAGCATGTGAAAGAAAAGTGGACCGTTGTCAATGTCTGAGGAAAGAAACTGCTCTGTAGTCTGGGGGCACGGTGTTTACATTTAATGTTTTACCATTTTACTTCATGTTGGGTTATAATTCAGTACAATCATTTATTGTCTCTATAGCACATTTAACTTTTTCTAAAGTATGTCAGTATTAACAACTGAATATAAATATACCCTTTTTGGGTGAAATAATATTATTTATATATATTATAAAGCTGGGAGAATGTCATATCACTTTTGACCTTCTGGTAACAGTCATTACTGACATCTTGCTATCATATAATGCTTTAATAAGAGTTATTATGTCCTTATCTCCCACCTTAAATTCCCTAGAGTTAGGCCATCCAAATGATGGGATAAAATAGATGGGTGTTTTTCACACAGTATTGGTGATCTGGCCTTCACGCTGAGCCTTCTGGTACCGTTCACATCCTTAAGCCAAAACGTTTTTTTTTATAAGATTGTAGTGGCTCAACACGAACAGCTCTGCAGTTTTGCATTACAAGATCAGACTGCACATTTCGTAAGCTAATAAGCCATCTGTGAGACCATTGTGAGAGCGTGCAGTGTGCAGATGGCTTGCTTAATTACACAGTTAAGGCAGCTCAGTTCAGTTAGGCAGCCGGGAAAAAGTTTTAAGTTTAAAAGAGCATTTGCTATTGTGAGCGGAAGTCTGGGTTTAATTCTATTGTTATTTGCTTAAACAATGTTTTTTATCATGTTTTGTTTAAAGTGTTATTCTAAAACTGAGTAAATTATAAATAAAATATTCCAGTATGTTAGACCTAATTAGTTTAAAGTCTTTCCAATTTAAGCAGAAATGCTTCTCAAATATAGGACAATTAAACTATGGAGATGTGTTTTTTAACAATGAGTACGTAGGAAATGTATTTCTTACCAGTCTTGTCGGAGTTACACAGCAGGGTTTCCTTCTCCGCTCTGAGGCCCGGACTGGGACCGTGCTTCATCCATGTTGCTATGGTGAACTGGTCTGTGAGGTTTTGGGGCACCACGTGGTCCGGGATATTAGCAGCCTGACGTCCCTCGAACCTGTAGATGAGATCGCTGTCCCGGCCGCTGTCAGTCAGCAGAGACGCTGTCCAGTTTGTGGCAGGGCAGGAGGCAGGAAGTAGGTCGGTGCTGCTTGACGCTGCTCCTGGAACAGCCAATCACAAGATACAACACTGTCATGGTGGCTACTGGAGCAACAACCTGGAGAAAAACTTCCTCTGCAAAACTATGGTTACTACAATACTATCTACATAAAACCTAGATTTGCTAACACCTAGCCCATAAACTAAGATTGATGTGTCATGTACTGTTTATGCAATGATCATTGTTTACAACATGGTACGTTAATTCCGACTTTGTGACCTGATAATTACCAAATTTCAAACGGATGCTTTTAATTGTTTTTTAGAGAAGTTTAAATAATGACTTTAAACACAGATGAGTTCTAATTTCTCAAAAGGAATATTTCAAATTAGACTCCAGAAGTAGATATGGCAATGGAAATATGCAAATGAATACAGTGCAGAGGCTAAGATGTCAAGAGGTAATATCTTCTACAAATTGATTATTTTCATTATTATAATAACCTCTTGCTCCCTCATAACACTCAACTCTCAAATTGCATCACACTATTTAAACAAGGAATTTAATTAAACCTTTTTTCTTTTCCCTCTTTACTTACCACACAGTTTCTGCAGAGACTTCTCAGAGTATGTTTCCCGATCGCAGCCCTTCCCGATGTGATTGGTCTGGAGCTCTACCATCGCTTTTACTCCAGACAGGAGACCTCCGCACGTTTCCAAGTGCATCTTGGGAAACAGCTGCCTGCTTCCAGTCCCTGGCTCGTAGTCCACGCGCTTGTTCCAACCTTTAAGGGCCAACATTAGTGTTGTAGTTATTAGTTTAGTCATGTCAGTGGTGTCATTTGTTGCTATGACAGATATAATGACCAGGTAACACATTTGGCTATTTGGCATTTAATTACAATTGTGTATGCTTTTAATTCTTAATAATTGCCTTCATTATTTGTGTCTTTATTTATTGGCTGCATTACAAATATTCTATTATTATTGCAATGCATATTAGATGTGTATACATAGGAACTTTGTGAATTAGTTTCTTTGAATGTGCTATAAAAAAAACATATACTATTATTATGTGATGGCAAATGTATGGCAAATGTACACACTTTGTTTCCTTACGATATGACAGGCTACAAACATCTATATTAATTGATTTGTGTCATGAAACACTGTCCACTGTAGGAACCACATAGGTCTTGTTGCTAAAATTGTTGTCTGTTATTTTCTGCTCTGACTTTCTGTTTTACTGTTGGAGGTTTCAGAATGAGCATGTGGGTCTTGAAAGAAGGTCAGGCTACCACACAGGCTTGGAATATTCTCAGTAAATATTTGCCCTGTGCCGAATCAAAAGAAGACTGGAAGGGCCGGTAACATGACAGAAAGAAGGTGCAGACCTGCTTGTAACTGTCAGTCCTGTTGCTCCTGTGCTTAAGTGTTGTATAATTCATTACCCAAGTGTTAAATCTATCCCAGATGTACGGAAATCCTTGATCCTCAGTGTTGAAAGGGATTCCCTAGCATAATGCACAGGAAAGTGTTTGTGCATGTCTGTGTTTATTTTAACACCTGGCAACTCTTTCCATGGATATAGAATATGATATCAAGTCTCCTGAGACAAAAAGTTAAATTATCAGGTAAGCGTGGAGGAGTGAGAGCTGAGGAGGAGAAAACCATAATTAGCCTCTATTTATGCCGGGGAGCGACTGACCTTTTGCACACGCACAATAAATAAGGTTGTGTCCAAAAAGACTTGATATTTGAATGCATAATTGGATTATTTATTCATTTACGCTACCATGGGTTAATGGTTTTACGACAGGATTATGCAGTAAAGCCAATTTTCAGAGCCAAAATCCCAAAGAATCATGCAATATTGATAAGGGTGTTAGAGGGGTATGATAGCAAGGGCTCCTTTGTGATTCAAATGCTAAAAGAAGATTGCCCTGTTGTGCCAGCTGGATCTCAGAAAATATGGTTTCCCATTAAGCAAGATCTTGGAGAAACAGCTGGTACTTCCTCTTTTTCTAAAATATGTTCTGGTTTAGGGTTAGTTTCCCAAATCAGTGGCCCCTCAGAGCTTTGCAGTGCATGCAGATTACATTTACATGAAGTTGAATGCCATTTCAGACAACTTTCTCAAAACTATACTGACTCACTCTGCACCTCCACCCCTCGGATGTGCACTGACATTTCCCTCAATGTGTGTGTGTCCCTAAAGCCTAAACAACTGGCATTCACGTCCGTTTCAGTAAGAGCTCTCCTTGCACTAAAGGATCTTGTCTATGACATTAGGTCTGCTTTAACTACATGATTCTATTAGCACACAGAGAAATATGAGGCATATGAGTAGGCGTAGAGAGTATGCAAGTTTCTTTAGGATAGCTGGAAAATGTCTATTCAATCATTGTGAACAAGTATCTCATGGTAATGGGCAACACAGTATTTGGACCTTATATGTCTGATAAACTGTAAAACACAAAATGGATGCAACAGCTTAAGTGAATGTCATGTGAGACTGATATTCTACGTATTTTATACATCAAGTTAATTAATAAGGTCAAATAAATCGCTTTTTTGGCTATTATTATCATATACAAATGTTTCTCACTAATGCCACACCACGGTATTTCTTTTTTATGTAGCAATACATACCACATTTAATTAAAGTGTCACAGCTACTTTGGAATTCCTAACCACAGACGGGGGTTTTAATAACCAATTGGGATCACTTAGAATACTTTTAAAATAACCATCAACTCATTCCTTCTTTATAAGTTTATTTCTCTCTTTCCTCCCCCGAATTGTCTCCTTCTTCCTCCCTTTCTGTTTCTTATCTTTCCCTGTCTTCCTCTTTCTTTTCTGTGTGAGTTTGACTCCTGAGATGCTCTCAGTGCTGACAGGTGAAGCAGCGGGGGAGAAGGGGAGACTCGAATGCCGAGCTTCTCGCATGTTAAAGGATGAAAAAAAAAACACTCCGGTCAACTTTCCCTCTGGAGGTTTTTGTCAGGTCTTCTGATTTTCCTCGAGAGACGTTCAATCTAAAATGATACAGAGAAAGGCTACTCTAAAAAGATATGCACCTTCTGCTTACATTTTGTTGCTATCATTTAAGAATATTTAACAAAAAATGAGGGTCCATTTTCTACCAGCAAACTGTCTGGTACATCTATATCAATTGTTACAAGGTTAATAAAGGCATTTTAAAAGTGTTTCAGGGACTGTTTCTTTATCTCTGACCTTGCCATCCAGGTTTGCAGACAGGTTTCACATCAATATGCACAGCCACATCCTCCTTTGCTCTCTTCTGACCGCAGTCAAAGGCCGTCACCATGATCTTGTAGCTCTTCTGCTTGTCATAGCTCAGCCGCTCTGTGTTTCTGATGTTACCTGAAGGACACCAAAACAAAGAATTATCATGATTATTTTTTGACAGAGGAACAGAAAGGCTTATTTGAAAATATTAAGGCAAGAAACATTTTTAAAAAGGATCCTTGAAGGCGAAAACAGCACTTTATATTTATTGAAGCCTTTTACCGACACCTCAAGGTCCACTAACCTTGTATTGTGTTAGGATATATAAGCCTTTTGTAACAGTCAATGTAAATTCCCAATTATGGATTCATCATCACCTATCACCACGGTAACAGTGTGAGATGTAGAAGATGCTCCAGTCCAGACCAACGTGCCTCGAGTACGGCTGCTAGACGAGGTTATAACTGAAGTTATACTAAGTCATAGAAAGCAACCTGCAGCTGGCTAACTTTACCTAGTGTTTAATCATACAGGTACTTACTTTAATGTATTAATTAATACAACTTAACATGATAAAGTGCATTTTTGAATACTGGTGGCAATTGTCATGATGATTGTTTATTGTTTTTATTTTGAACTAGATGTTACATTTTTTATTTTGGCCTTGTTTACATACGTACTGAAAACGTATTTTCCAGAACATAAATATATTATTGACCGATTCGTTTAAAACTCTTATGGTTGGGTAATATTTTGCGTATCTCTCATCGAAATTAAATTAAATTAAAGGAAATGGCAGGCTGTTTTTCATGTTGTGTTTAAATGACTAAGGTCTGGGTTTTAAAGTTTTTAATGTTTTGGAAAATTGCAGTTTGGAAAACAACCCACCATAATATTTCCCTAAAATATTGGGGCATATTTTATTCTTATGTGCACAAAGATGTTTTATCAATTGTACTCAAAACTGCTTTTGTCATATATTTTTTAGAACAAATATTCCAAAAGTGATAATTAATTTGAGAAACAACAAACATATTTGATGAATTGATAAAGTTTTGATATTATTAAATCTGTGACAATCAGTATCCTTTTGAATTTAAAAAGTTTGATCCCAGAACAGCAAACAATAAATATAACCTGACCAAAATAATGTTCAACTGATGATTTATTATATGTGTGAAATATACAGATGTTCCTCAAGATAAACAACAGGCTTACAAATGATGGCATCATCTTATTTTCAAAGATGTTTCACATCATTCATTGCCATCACAGTCCGTCTCTGGCTCTATGAGGAAAACTGAAGCTATTTTTGTTGTTTGCATCTGGAGGCTTTGCTGTATGAAAAGCTGTCACTCTGATTGCTGTCATGGAGGAGAGGAGAGCTGGAAAGAGAAAATAGATTGAGAGGCCAGAGGAGAGGAGGTGCAGAGAGTACAGCAGGAATCAGTGCAGGGCACAGCAGTACAGAAAGGAGAAGACATTTGAAGTGAAGAAAGGTGAGGAGGCCACAGTTCTCACCAACACCTCCCACAGTGACCCTTTGATCCACAGCTGGGCTGAACAACAGTAACAGTTAAGGTAGTGGATATCCACCATATTACATTTTTTAACAAAAAAATAAGTAGAATTTTCTAAAGACAGTGTTATATCCTTAGGTAATTAACAGGCAACATAATCCACCCTGTTGAGCTATAGTGCACATTATGTATTTAGATGTTTCTTATTCTCCTGATGGTTGAAGAGAGAACAATTTTGTGGAAGAGACAACAAAGTTGTTTTACTTAGCTTGTTGCAAAATGACCTATTTGGGTCTGGAGGGCGGATTTCTAAAGATTGTAAAATAAAGCTGATGAATCTGATCTACTGATCTACTTATCTTTTAGCCACATTTTATATTACGTTTAGAGGGAAACTGATACTCCTCAGATTTTCTTTGGTGTTTGACATTAGATCACAGCACACTTGAACCCTGGTTTTCTTCAGTTTTTATGTTTTTCTAAACACTTTACAGAAATTCTTTGTAATTCATCAATTTTTATTTCACTGCTTTGAGTTCAATTGACTTGAATCAGTGACTCATACTGCAGTACAGCCTATTATTTACTTTTATATTTTACCATTAACTTCCATTAAAGGCCCTGTCACACTGTCCCGAAATTGACACCCGATGGACACACGATAAAGGAAATGTTCAAATTCGGCTGTGATCGTAGCAACATCGGGCCATTCGTGAGGGCATCTTAAGCCATCGTATGACCGCCGGTGGAGTTTCTCAGGCTCCGGCAGCAACTTCGTGAGCGGCAACTTCGTAAGGCACTCGTGAGGGCATCTTGTCAAATCGTGTCATCTTCGTGTTATCATCGGTGCATTCACCCTCACTCTGATCGTGGCGAATGCCCGATGGCACCGATGATAACAAGATGCCCTCACGATGGCCTTACGAAGGGCAACATTTACACACGAATTCAACACGAAAATGAACCTTCGCAAGGTCCTTCGGCAATTTTTTGGCATGCCAAAGATTTTGCCACCGCTCACGAAGTTGCTGCCGGAGCCTGAGAAACTCCACCGGCGGTCATACGAAGGCTTAAGATGCCCTCACGAATGGCCCGATGTTGCTACGATCACAGCCGAATTTGAACATTTCCTTTATCGTGTGTCCATCGGGTTGTTTTATTGCACAACAAAATCATGTAAATATATTATGTAAATGACCCAATTTGTGTTCTGTGAAACTAAAAAGGATATAATATATTATTTTGAAGGACAGTTGACAGGAAGTTGTTGTTGTTATGGAAACAACATTACGGAGAAAACGTAATATCTTCTACATATAAAGACGGATAAAGTAAAGAACAAAGTCTGAAGATATCAGTACAGTATCATAGTACTGTAACATAATTGTTTTTGGTACTTTCATTGCAGTTGTATGTCTTAAATGTAATGTAAATGTTGCCTTCGTGTGTGGTTCGGGGCCATCTTCGTGCGAAATTCACAATTCCATATTCGTGTGTCCATCGGGTGTCAATTTCGGGACAGTGTGACAGGGCCTTAAAGCACAACATTCCCTTGTCCAATAAGGTAATGCCCTCTGCCTTCCTATTTCTAATTCCAATTCCAATTTCTAAAAAGTTGTTTTTTTTATCCACAGTTTGCTACAATAGGTATCTGCACATTCACTAGTTTCGGCTTTGGTCAAACAAATCTATCTTTAGAGGAGACTTGTTCACATTCATGAGAGGTTCAGACGACTGAGATTATAAAGAGAAAACCAGGAAATAGATTTTTGATTTTATCAAGACATAGCCCATGCTGTGTGTGTTTGTGTGAGGCAGGAGAAGCAACGCTTTTAGTGTATTTGAAATGTACAGCATATCCAAGTAAGGTCCAAATGTGTTTTAACCCAAATGTAAAGTAAATGATCCCCAACATAACAGCCTTCACCCTATTTTGTTTCAGTTGAGAAAGCAGCACCACAGGGCCCATTTGGTAGCTGCTGGAGTTGACATTTAGATTTATTTCTGAGTACTTTGAGGATTTCTCACCCATGTTGGCTTAAAAGCAGTAGTTCAAAAGTTCATTCTTAAGGGTGACCTGCTGCACAACTCTGTGTGCGTGATACACAAATAATGGCTCTCCAATTTAATAAAAACTCCCAAACAAAAAATCCTCCAGACAGACAAAGTGAATCTCACTGAGCTTTCCCTCTCCTTTAGACCCCATTTACACGGGAGCGCAAACGGAACGAATTCGTTATCAAAAAAGTCTCCGTTCACACGCATTCGGCACATTTAACGTGTCTGTTCACACGAGACCACTGGAAACGCTGTAGTACATATGCCGGGCCTGTAAGTGGCGCTGTACTTCTGCCACAAAATACACCATAAGCAGCGAGGAAGACCACCGAGCATGGTTGCCCTTCTGTTTATGCCCCGCGGTAGATTTAGCAACATACATTTTAAACTCACACACACACTTACCATTGCGGTCGATAGCAAATGGCGTCCCTGCAGTGACAATCTCATAGATGCAGATCTGGCTGTACTGTGGTGAACAGTCTTGGTCCCAAGCTTCCACCTGCAACATAAAAATAATTACTTTCTTCCCATGCCACGGTCACCTTATCTGACTTGCTTTTTAAACACTTGGAGGGAAATGGATCTCATGCTAGACTTTTATTTGTTGATTTTTCCTCTGCTTTTAACACAATTCAACCTCATATTCTAATTGGCAGACTTTTAGAACAATTTGAAATAAGCAATAATCTTATGGGCTGGATTCTTGATTTTTTAACCAATAGGACACAAAGAGTGAGGGTGAATGGGACCTTATCTGATCAAGTCAGCTCCTCCACTGGCTCCCCACAAGGATGTGTCCTTTCACCACTATTATTTATACTTTACACTAATATGTGTCAAAGTAGGTGGGAAAATAGGACTATTTTAAAGTATGCAGATGACTCTGTAATTGTTAGTAGGCTCCAGGACAATGAGACCAGCCGCGGCCCTGTCATTGACGACTTTGTCAGGTGGTGTGAGGAGTCCTATCTACAACTGAACATAAGCAAAACCAAGGACATGATCATTGATTTTAGAAGACATCCCCACATACATGAAGTCTTAACAATCCAGAATCAGAAAGTAGAATTTGTGCAATCATACAAATATCTAAATAAGCTGTGTGCAAAAGGGGGCACCAGCGTTTGTACTGTCTTAGGAAATTGTCCTATTTTAACATTGACAAAACCATGATGATTATGTTTTATCGTGCTTTTATCGAGTCAATTCTGTCTTTTTCACTAATGTCATGGTTTGGTAACCTGACTTTAAAGAGCAGAAACTCTCTGAGTCAGATCGTAAAGTGGTCCAGCAGACTGATTGGTGAGCCACAGCTAAACCTGGAGACCCTGTACCTCCATATTAGACGATGACTCCCACCCTCTGCACTCTGAATTCAAGCTTCTTCCTTCGGGCCGGAGGTTACTTGTCCCAAGGAGTAGAACGAAGCGGTATAAAAACAGTTTTATCCCAGCAGCTATTGCACAAATTAACACATCATAGGAGCGTCACACAGATGCCTATTTTTATTTATTTATTTAATTATGAATTTTGAATGTCCATGTTTGTACTAGTGTTTTCCTTCTTAAAATGTTTTTTTTTAATATTTTGAGATTTGGTTGAGCAGTGTCTGTTGTTTGTGTTTGTTTTTAGTGTCAGGATGGAACCCTTGTCTTTTTCTCTGCAAACAGAATCTACCTACGGGTACAAATAAATAACCTGAACTAGGGGTGCACCGAATGGGAAATTATTGGCCAAAACCGATACCGAAAATAGGAAACAGTTAGCCGAAAACCGAATGCCGAAAGGCCGAAAATGATTAATAGAAATATATATATATATAATGTATACATTTTTTACCAATGTTGTTCAGCTACCTGATTATGGAAATAGACATGATTATGGCAAAACTTAACTTAAATAATAATCACTATTATGGGTCCATAAAACATTTATTCAGCACTTTGAATGCATACAGTACATTTATATATGTCATGTATTATTGCTAAAAAACATTATATCGCAGTCTTAGTGTCGCCAACTCGTTTCTAATATGCAAAGACAACAAATGCGTCTATGATGTATTTTCGATCAGACGAGATCTCTCTCCCCCGTCTGTGTGCGAGGGGGCGGGGCAGTTTACACACACGCAGCTGCTACATGCAGCGGAGCACACTGCGGAGATGGTGGAGAGAACGCGCTCCGAGGTGTGGTTAAACTTTACCCGTCTCGATGTGGAGAATACTTGTTACCATAAGTGCAATAAGAGTTTAGCATGTAAGCACGAGCAATTTGTCTAAACATTTAGCAAAAGTGCACCGCATGCAGACGGAGGAATGTACCGGGTTCGACTGTCTTTCTAGCAGCTATGTAGCTCCATCACGAGTAACGTTTCCACGTCAGGTGTTATGTATGCTAGCAGCAGGGCCGCCCCTGGCCAACTTGGGGCCCCAAGCGACATTGTGAGATGAGGCCCCCCCCCCCCAACCGACAGGAGTGAAACACATTTTTTTGGAAACAAAGTAGGCTACTTATATAAATAAAATTCCTGTTTATTATTAGTATCAACACAGTTACTTTTGTATACAGTGAGGTAAATAGTAAATGTGCATGTACGTCTGCATTTCCTGCCAAATACTAGCCTCAAAAAGATTAAAATATAATGAATGCAAATAAACTACTTCTACTAATAATCATAATCATAATCAATTCAATAATATAAATACTATATTATTTTATTATAATTTAGTTGTAATATAGTCAAGACAAAACATGCTTATGACATGCTCAAAAACTGATATTTCTTAAATCTGTATTCTAGTTCTCTCTGTCAGCAATGTATCAACAACTACACACACATTTCTATCAGTATTTCTCTGTGTTGTGGTTGACATGATGATGACTGTTAAGAGTTAAGGGGAGAGGCTGAGCATCACCATGAAATGTGCAAATTGACATAAAAATGAATAAAAGGGGAAATAATGCTCCATGTTTTTTAGGCTGTAAACTTTAACTGTTATTTAAGGCAACTAGACAGACAGTGTATCACTCTTCCTCCTGTACATTAGCAGATAAAAGGCATAACATACTTGAATGAATGTTAAATAAAGAATGCTGGAAATAACTGCATCTCCATTAGCCTATATGCTCTGCAGAAACTGCCTTCTTCATGTCGTGAATTGCAGCTGATGTTTTAATATGGCAATTGACAATTTGACTTATACAACATTCGCAAGTTGTACATTTGACTCATACAATAACCCACCTTCGAGTGATGCTCTAGTTTCTTCATGTTTTGTTTTTATCCCCTCTTCCTTGTGCCGGACTGAAACTGTCTTTTCACCGACATCTCTTCACCTGCACTAGTGGCCGTATCAAAGCCGTGATTGGTCAGATGTCAATTCATCGCAACGGTGTCGGGTTACAGACGTGCTCCCCTTCTCACTCTCTCTCGCTGTGCGCGGAGAACTGAGCGGAGAACTGAGCGGAGAACTGCGCACAGCAGCTGAGGCCCTCTGGGCGGGGCCCCCTGCGCAAGGCGGGGCCCCATGCAGCCTGCGTGATTGGCCTGTAGGGAGGGGCGGCCCTGGCTAGCAGCAACACACAGAGTTAACTACATGATACAAACATGGGTTAATGATTAGAGGAAACTGAGTTATTTAGTTTGTTAAAATTTCAGCTATTCTGTTTACAGTCTGTCATCAGATTATTTAATACGATTTGTTAAAGGCTCAGGGCAATCTCGATGACAAAGGTCAATGTTCCCCCCCCCCCTGTGAGCCAGCCGCGAGCATGGTCGCCGCATCTTTATTACGTCATCACAACAACACGTTAGGTTACCAACGTAAGCCTGTTCTGACAGTCGATGATATTTTTTCGGTGCTAAAACCCTTTCGGCCGAAAGCCGAAAGGGCCTTTTTAACCATTTTCGGCCGATAATTTTCGGTGGCCGAATATTCGGTGCATCCCTAACCTGAACCCTTAATCAACACCAAGAAGACCTTGAACCATCACAACATCCTACGTTTTTGAACAAATCATTTTTTGTGGCATTGAGAGAGGCCACCAAGAGGTCCCATTATGCTTTCGTTAGTTTTCCCTTTACCTCTAGTGTGTTTTCTTTGTTTTTTTGTGCATGTAAATGTTCTGCAGAGGCCAAAAAACCAAAGTTCAATCCAGGGGGAGTTTCTCTCTCTCACACCCCCCCCCTTCCTGAAACGCCTCGATTGTTACTTCTGTGACATCATGACATCACCATGTCACAGTCGCTCTTATATTGGCTAGCGCTCCAACACATTGTACGGGATAGGTTAAGGGGTGGGGACATCTTTAAGCGGTTGACCAATCACAACAGAGCCGGCCAGCTAACCAGGCTCTGGGACTGGGCTCTGGTTTCAGACAGAGGGTGAAAAGAGGTGCTGCAGCACAGTAGAGGCACAAAATACAAATATGAAACCTGAAAATGAGCATAAAATGTCCTCTTTAAACCTTCTGAACCTACACGATTATTTGCCAGGTTGATCCTCAAAATAAAACAATGAATCAAAAAACAAAAACAAAGTAATGATACCTTTAAAATATGATATCTAAATACCTGCAAAATGCTGTCGTAGATTTTGCCCTCTGTAACAGATGCCTTGTAAAGTGGCTCCCGAAACACAGGGCTGAACTCATTGACGTCATCCACCTGGATGTGAACCACCGCCCTGAGAGGAGAGGAGGGAAGCGTGTGAAGAAAGTGCAGAGGAAATGATTGATGGATTAAAGGAAAAAGAAGGATGCAGGGAAAGAAGAGATGGATGGAGGGAGGGAGAGAGGAGACAGGGACAAATCTCTCTAAGTCATTAGAGTTGAAGACAATTAATAAGGACCTAAAGGTACTGTTTATCTTGAGAACAGTGGTTAGTTGAAGGCAGAGCAATGTGAGAGGAAAACAGTTCCTATGCTTGTAGGGAAAATAGATTTATTCCTGAAAATCAGGATTTGGAAGAGTTACCTCTTGATTATCGGTATTTCTTTGTGAAATGGGTTCAAATTATCATCATGTCAATCAAACTTTTATTTAACAGGCATGTTAACGGAAAAAAAGTCGGGTTGTTATTGAAGGTTCCTTCTAACTTTTTCCTTCACTTTCTTTTTAAGAAGCACATAAAAACACACTCTCATTTGCAGGTTGTAAACTTTAAACTCTAATAATATTTGTGCACTAAAGATTAGAAGATGAAGCAATAATTTAGATCATATCATGAAATTCTCCTCCCCAGTGACCTTCTCTGACAACAACTCGTGGTGTATCTGGAGAATCACATCTGGCTAATTAATGACATTAGCTTAATGAGGCCTATTTAGAATGTCATGCCGCGATAATGTCACATTCACACACACTCACACACACACACGTTCACTGTGTTCATCCATCATCCACTGGTGAAATTCATCACAGATTCCTGAGCAGATAACTCTTCCCTCTCTCCCCTTTCTCCTAGTACTAAGTATGGAGAAGCTTATTTTCCAGCTCTTTGTGTCTGACTGAAAGTCCACAGGGTTGGATTTGCTGCTGTCTATGCCCCATTCTACCTGTCCGTCAATCTCACAAGGAACTGCCACACACACATAATATATATGGGCCATTCGGGGACATATCCTGAGAGCAGAGCTGTACGTTTTAGCATGTCACTGCTGCCGTGCTCAGAGATCTTGAAAATATATACCAGAAAAGAAAGCAGAGCATGTAGAAAAGGTAAAGACATATCCATTGAAAGGTGTTTTTCTTCATTACCTTTAGCTGTGAATGCACAATATATACATTTAAGGGAAGGCTATGGAATGTATTTTTTCTATTTCAAGACACCAAGACAAGTCTGAAGTGCTACAGCAGGACTAGGTTACAACAAAAAACAAAAAGAGATTCTGGAAAGAAAATAATGCACACTCCAATTCAGACCCATCATGCACGGGACTATAAAACCACAGGGGGTTCACTTCTGGCCTCTGCAGTTGTGTCAAAAAGTTCAGATCCATTTGAGTCATGCAAAAAACTTGAGGGGGGAATCACATTACATATTTGTAAGTTTGATTTCAGTCATTAAAATAGTCATTTGTATTAATTGGGTAGGAAATATAATCAGTATAATGTATAATGTGTCCTGTTTTGTAATTTGTTGTTATTAGCTTTCAATAAACAGAAAGAGGTTTTTTGCATCATTCATTTTTAGGGTAGTATTTCCTAGTGATGTTATAAATGTTCTTGCTGTTAGTGATGGTGAGACTTATTAAAGTTTTCTCTGTTTTTCATGTTCGAGACTTTTTTGAGGCATATGACTCTTTTGTGCAGCTGCCTTTATTACTTTGATGTTCATATTTGTTTGTCAGTCATGTGTCTTTGTCCGCCCACTTTAAATCGATTTACATTGACAGCCAAACAAGCAAATCATGGGAAGATAAATAATAATAAGCAGTATGACAGATTTGATACAGCGTCTAACAATTACCATTTTCATAGCTGAGTTATACAGCAGCATTAAAAAAGCTGTAAACATGTCAGATAGTCGGGGGTTGCTGGAGTCACAAATTATGTGAAGTGAGTTGTTTAACTGTTATAAAAGATTGAAATATGTCACAATTGTAAACCCACTAATAAATTGTCAGCATTTTCTGTCAGTGTTATCTTTTCAAGGGAAGATCCCACATCTGGGCATAAAACACGCAAGAAACATGTCGGACTAAAAAGTGCCTTAATGACGGCTGAAACAAATACCCCCACATCACATGGACAGATATTCGTCGACTCACTTGTGGGATTTCTTCCAGTCGGCTCCGCTGGGCCCCGCCCCGCAGTCGTAGGCCTGGATGATGAAGGTGTACTCTTTCTGGCTCTCACAGTCCACCGGGCTGCTGGCCTGCAGGACTCCCTCTCCTGATGTGCGATTCAACACCACAGCCTCGAAGGGAGCATCCTGACCATAAATCTTAAAGGAGCAAATCTCCCCTAAAAAGACAAGGAAATATCCACATGAAATGGTGTGTTCTTTTACAGTACATTTACACAATAAAATAAATCAACTCAGCTATTGCAGTATTTAAGACAGTATCTCCATGAATTCAACATTTCTGAAGGATTTATTTATTTATTTTGGCAGAGGATAGTAGTTTGTGTATCAGTTGAACATATGAAATATCCCTTGTCTTTATCCGAGAGAAAACAAACCATGAATCTAACAGGCTCCAACAAGCCTGTTCGCCAACAGAGGCTGAAATGTAACTCAGCATGAGGCATATGAATGACAGACGTTGAGGATGCTAAATATAGAGGCATTAGGCACGACAACTATCAAGCTAAAAGACACTAAGAGAACAGTAACCATAGGAAAAACGATACACTGCCAAGCTCCAACATTGACATATAACAATAACTTGTTACGGGTGTACGCAGCGCGAAAAAATAAATAAAGATAAGGAGAATATGGATAAGAGAAAGAAAACAGATGTAAAGGAGCCACTGTTTTGTAGTGACACTGTGACACTATTTTATAGTGACATGACATAGCCTAGTAGATATGGTTTCCGCTAGGATTTTTTCTCATGTCCGGGCAGAATTGATTTTACCGGACAAATTTGAAACTTACCGGTCATATTTCAATAATAATAATAAGAGTTGTGTAGCAGAGTTTCCGTTAGCAGGTAATTACCGGACTATGAGCAGATATGCTGATGTTTAAAACTCAGTTAATGGGGCTCATTTTTATATTGCTTCAGTTTATAGTCGTAACAGATAGAACAATTCAGATTCATTTTTCAATAAATTAGTCCACAAACAACAAACAACATAAGTATTACATTCAAACAAACTACTTGTAGTAGATAACGTACATTATTCAAAAGTTTACATCAACTTTGAATAATAACACGGGAGAAACGGATCCTCTCTTTTCCCCTCTCCCTCCCTCTCTCTCCTGACAGCCCGTCAGTTTCTCATGCAGCTCCTGCAGCTCACTAAACAGTGGGCGGGTCTTCAGGTGATCATGCAGAGCTGCGTGTCTCGAGAGGCTTCTCAATACTCAAATTTCCCCTCCTCGACTCCCCCCCTCGGTTCCCCTCCTCGAGACTTAGACCCGCCCACAGGAGATGCGAGTGGAGGACCGAGGAGGGGAACCGCGGAGGACCGAGGAGAGAGGAGGGGAAGCAACAGGCGTTTAAAGAAATGAGAACTCCTCTCCTCTGAGCGGTCATATTAAAGCGACGTCCGTTCATTATTACGTGGCAACAGCTGCCGAGTGTTTTGTCATAGCGCTGTATTTTATAATCTCTGTCAGAGCCCTAGAGAGATAAGAGTTACGACACTCCCATAGACCTCCGTTGTAAAAAATGGCGGCGCCTACTTCCGGGGTATGGACATCGAAATAGTTCCAAATATTGTCATTTGGGCGTTGAACCTCATTCACTTACATTACGGCGCGTCGATTAGTTCCAGAGGTAAGTTGCTGAAATATCGAACTCTTTTGAATTGTCAACTGTCTATATTGTATCAGAGGCCCTTTATGATGCTTATACTGGTCTTCATTTGTATATGCACAGCGTAATTATCTATATTTTATCTTGGTTGTTACAACCAATTTAGCTAGCATTGCCTGCTAGTTAGCTAGCGCGACTTCGTCAGCTTTGAAGGTAATATTTCAGTAATGAATCGCTAGCAGCTTATATATCTATGATGCTGGCTAACTAACAAGCAGGATTTAGATTGATTATGTGTTTTTATTGTTATTTTGGTTTTTATCCGCTGAACCTGACCGTGTCAGCCATCCTTAGTCGGCTTTTTCTGTATGATATGACTTAACTGCTAGCACTAGTAGAAATGAGGTGGCGTTTGTGATAAATATTTCATTTAATATTTCATTGAATTTTGGGATATACTAACATTTCATTATGTGACATGTTGACTGTACTTTGTTTTTTTTGGTACTGTTCCTTGTTAACTCATATGTACTGTACAACTAGCGCTACTTTTGAATGCTTGATGGCATGCTAGGATAGATTCCTTTGTATTGTAATATACACACTAGTTTAATGATTGTTCTTCAAAGGTATTATTCAGTCTTAAACAAATAATAGCCTACTGAATAGGCTACTCTACAGCAGTGAATGAAGGATTAGCCTAAAACATGGTCATGTAAAAATGTAAAACGTATCTAAGTAATAGGCTACCAAGCTTTCCGTTGTCACCCTGCCTCTCCAAATGCAAAACTGTCAATAAAAAGTATGCAATAATGCAATTACAGCTGAAAAAGTACTTGGGTGTGTGTGTTTTTTTAATATATATATTTACCATTTAATAACGCAATCGCTGCTGTCTGTCTGTCCCATAGAAGAACATGACAGCGCAGCGCAACTATACTACGGACGTGACTGCCCTGGCAGTGACAGCAACATAGCCTGCTTGTGCTACCACACTTTCCCCTCAAAATATCGCAATCTTTAAAAAATAACAGTGTTGGTTTAATCTATGACAATTTTGACCATGTTTGTGCTGTTTTTGCCATAGAGAAGCATTGCAACGGAAGTGCATTTTGAACTATCCCGGCATACATAAACCACGTGACCGGCTGGCGGCGACATCAAAGAGTGTCGTAACTCTTATCTCTCTAGGGCTGCTTCTCAGGTCGATTAAATGAAATCCTTGCTTCCCTCACTTGCGTCGTTTCCCTGCGTTTAGTCCCTCCCACCAGGGAAGCATGGAGGGACGCAAGGAAACCACGAGAAGCAAGGAAATGAGTTTTAAGAGCAATGGGACGTCCTTTCCTCCGGAGCGTCACGTGAAGCGACGTCCGTTTGTGATGACGCTGCACAGCTGATCGTCTGACAGCAGCTCTGTCCCCGTTATTTCCACACCCCCCCCCCCCCCCCCGCCTCTGTTAGTACACATTTACTGACACAAACATTTGTATCATCTGTTGTAGACTCCAATAAATAAAATTAAAATAAGAACTAATTCTCAAAAAAGATAAACGCCATTCTTAAAATGTATAAACGAACAATAGTTTGATTAATATTGATTAGAGTGCACAATAGAAATAAAATAATTGAGAGAAGAAAAAGAGATATGTTATCTATCAAAACCCAGTTAGATTAACATTCATTGGATTGCACACTTTGTTTGTTTGGATATGTAGCACATTAACATTTTAATAGCACGTAACCTCTTAATGACTGACTGAATGGAAATGACAATAAATGAAAATGTAAAACGAAAAAAGCGATCATGAAAATGTTTCCAAAAAATGAATTAAATGATTTTTGACCACTTTGTTGTTCAGATATATCACATATTTGTAACTAAATGATACATGAATTGAAACAAAACACGGTATAAACTGAGGAGTGACTCCCGTGAGGTTCATGTATTTTCTTCACTCTGCTCTCATGTCAAGAAGCATCAGATCAGTGCATGCACTGCCTCGTCCAATCAGTGAGCGATACACAGTAAGGGGGCGGGGTGAGTATCTGAGGATTTCATCGGAGGATGGTCTGGTGGTTCCTCGGTTATCGCTCCTCCATGATCGCTCCTCGCTCCTCGATCCTCGGTCCTCCGGCAGAAATAAGAGCCATGGGACGGTACTCAAGATGGCGCAGGCAAATCAACTTCCGGTGAGACCGAGGACCGAGGAGCGAGGAAATGAAAATAGTCGACCTGAGAAGCAGCCATGGGCTCTGATCTCTGTTAGATCAGATGAACATTGTTCCCCCACATATTTACTTTGAATTCATTGAGAGTGCGGTATAATGAGACAATAACAGGCTACAGATGCGGGGACACACACACAAATATATTTATATAAATATATACAATTTAAAGTATGAGAGCACTCTCATAATAACGTAACACAATCAGAGACTGGATATATCCCCCCTCTCTCTGGTCGCTGAAATGGGGAATTGAAATTACGGGCCAAAAGTTGTATTTACAAGTAGCCTATTAAAAGTAAGCAGAGGACACCAAACCAACTGAGACCCGTCTGTCCGCCGCATTTACGCACTGTACAACACACACCTACACACTGTACCACACACACCTACAGCTCCTAAAGCATAAGCCGTTGTGTATTTTATTATGTGAAGCAATGGTCTTAGAAAAAAATCGACTCTTTGTTTGTAGATATCTACTAAACTAAAGCAAATAAAGAGAGTAGGCCTGTTATACTGAGTGATATATATTATACACACTGCTCTGCTTTCTGCATGGACCTCACAGCTGTTCTCTCTGGAAACATCTTGACGCGATGAGAGCAGTTTCTAAAATAATATCCAGGGGATGCATGCACAGCTGTCATTGGCTGAGATAAATCCGGCCGTGCGTCACGCCTCCACCGTTCCCGGAAATGTATCCGTGGAGGAGCCGTGGAGGAACCATCAGTGTATCCTCGGTTAGAGCTCCTCCAGAGAGCCTCCTCGACGCTCGATGCTCGGTCCTCAGTGTGCATTTAGAGAAATGAGACGTCCTTCAAAATGGCGCGCTGAAATTCATTTCCGGGTCACTACGGAGGACCGAGGAGTCGAGGAGGGGAAATTTGAGTATTGAGAAGCCTCTTCGGTCTGACTCAGCAGCTGATCTGATCTCTCTCTCACGTCCGGTTATACTTCACTCGCGTTTATGTCCATATCGATCAGATCCAGCTCTCCTGATCGGCCTTTATAGAGAGCACCGATCAAATGATTAAGAGTGAATATCGGCCGATAATGATCGGCGGCCGATCGATCGGAGCATCCCTAATTATTACCAGACATTTTGACCGGCAGCTTTTGAATTTACCGGTTTTTAATACATTTTACCAGCTAAAAATCGGTAATTACCGGCTAACGGAAACCCTGATTAGTTATCTTTATAGTAATTATTCAGTGTAGGCAGCCCTTTATGAGCAATCATAAGAAAATAATAGAATAGAAGCATCTCCAATTGCTGGACTCTCTTCATTCACAGATTTTTCATTCATCACA